AATAAACAATAAAAAATAAAAAGAATATATAAATATAAACTTAATAGAAGAACATATGATGTTTTAGAAAAAAATAATAAAATATAATCCGACAATAGAGAACATAAGGTGGTTTTAAACCGTCACGAAACAGATTAATAATACAGTTAATGACAAAGTACAGAAAATAAATGAAACAGCCTTTAAATTTTAACAATTTTGAATAAAAATATCTACATATAGTATAAGTTTATGAGATTTATTAAATCCATACGTTACAGAAAATACGATTGTTAATAAAAGAAATGCAGTAGTAAATTATACAGATTTAGTTGTATAACATATGCAACAATTTTGTTAGAACCTCACGTACAATTGTAGAACCTTTTTAAAAAAATTAAAGAAGTTTTATATGTCAGGTTTTTTTAATCAGTTTTGAAATGGACGGAAAAATAAAATACAGAAAATAAATGAAATAGCGTAAATGAAAACATATATTTTTTTTCATAAACATCATATCAGCTTTATATGGAACTTTTTGTAATAGAAAAGTATAGAAACCATTTGTGAATTTAGATTGTCGTAAATATTTTTACAAACGAAACAGTAATGGAAAGAAAATGAATAAATGTATTGTAATTTTAATAATTCAGATAATATACACCGTTTATATTTTTTTAATTTTGAATAAAACTATCCGCTTGTAATATAATTACATGATATTAATTAAAAAAATATAGAAAAACATAGTATGTGTGTATAAAAAAGAATTTTATTGAAGACAAAATTTGTAAGATTCGTTGTCATATAATTTTAGAAGCGAAACTTGAATATGATCAAAATACATGAAAACATTGTACTTTGTAATTGTAAATTGGTTTTCTACAATTTATGCAGTCTTTCAAATACATAAAGCTTCACAAAGTTCATTGCGATATATTGGTACAATGAAAACATAAATATGATAAAAATGCATAGAAAAATTGTAATTTTAATAGTGAAAAAAGAGTAAATGCACATATTTTTACAATTTAATCAATTTTTTAAATCCATGAAACTTAAGAAATTTGTAGACATTTGTAAAGAAATTGATGAACATAAAAGCTTAATATGTAACTTTTGTAACAAAATATTATTCATGGGAACGTAAAAATATAGGATATCATAATGTATGTATATAGAAATACATTTTATAATTATTCGCTTTTTAATGTACGTAAAGCTTGACAACCTGCGTTGTGATAAATTTGTATAAATGAAATATAAATATAATAAAAATGCATATTAACATTGTACTTTTTAATTGTTAATCGTTTTTCTACCGTTTATGCGGTTTGCAATGACATAAAATTTCACAAACTTCATTGTGATATATTTTTACAAATTTTACATGAATATGATAAAAATGCATAGAAATATTATAAATGTAATAGTAAATAAAATGTGACTACACATATTTTTACAAACGAAACATGAATCTAATAGTTTTGCATGGAAATATTGTAATTTGTAATTGTTAATCATTTTTCCACTATTTATGACGTTTTTTAAATACATAAAACTTAATAAATTTGTAAAATGAAAATAGTGTCAGATGTAACCTAAAATTTATATACTGAAAATACCAAGAAATGTACATTAAATTTGCATAATTTTATAATGCGTTAACAGCAAATACTCGATAACGAAATCTGAATAATCCCTTAATCCCTTAATCTCTTAATAAAGCAAGGGAAAGCAGGTAGAAAAGTATAAAAGAAAATAACAACTGAATAAAATTATCATACCGGATAAGTGTAGTGTACGACAAACATTTAAAAATGGATCCATCGAATGTATTGCCTGACGACGAAATGGAGGAAATTCTGGGTGCCATCGCCACACCGACAGAACAGGAAGACGACACCCTGCAATGGGGCAATATAAGTGAGGAGGCTCTGAATGAAGCGTGCGCTGTTGCCGAAGAAGAAATTGGAGAAACAGAAGAAGTTAGAGAGCCACATGAGGTAGACGACACCCTGCAATGGGGCAATATTACTGACGAGGCTCTAACTGAAGCGTGTACTGTTGCCGAGGAAGAACTTGAAAAAAAAAAGAAATCACACAGCCACATGAGGTACCATTAATGTGGAAAGACATCGACGAAACAGAATTAGTAAATGTTACGGTGGAAGCCGAACAACGTGGAAGTGCCGTCATGCATGGAGATGTGGAAGAATTACAGTGGGAGACTATCGATGCCTCCCAGCTAATAAACATAACTGTGGAAGCAGAACAAAATGTCGGTGAAGAAGAACAGGAAGAACGTGACGTCTTAGAAGAAGAAGAGGTAGAAGAAGAACAGGACGAACCTGACGTCTTTCAAGAGGAAGAAGTAGAAGAAGAACAGGACGAACATGACGTGTTGGAAGAAGAAGAGGAAGACGAAGTCCAGGATGAACCTGACGTGTTGGAAGAAGAAGAAATGGAAATAAGCGGAAACGACAACATTGAAATAGGTCCGTTGTCGACATCGACAACAGCAAGCACAAACGCATCGTCAGAGGAAATTCGCAGTAGGATGGTTCGACAATTAAGTCCAAATAGCGACTCTTCCGAAGAAATCCGAAAACAAATGGTAGAAAAGTTTATCAAGCGGCCTTTACAAAAAAGGAAGTTCGAGTAATGGGGTGGTCCAATTAGCAAAGCACAAAAATCGGCAAGTATAAGAAAATCTTCATAGGTGACAAATACAGTACGCAGCTGTGATAAGAAAACCCACGTTTAAAATACATAAAAGTTTGTATAAAAGAAAACGAAAAAAATAAAGTAATGAAAATATAATAAAGCAAATAATAACCGCTTAAATCGGTGCATGTGTACCACCCTCGCGCGACCCGCAACAGTTGAATATGAAATGCAGCTAAAATAAACACCTGACGTCCCTGAACGCGAAAACACAAATTGAAAATAAATGGATAATCGAACTGGCGCGCCGCTTCGCGGCTCGCAACCGAAACAGTCGTTGAAATGCGCGGAAATAGTATATATGCAAGAATTTTGTATAAATCGATCTCACACCAAATCGACCTCGCACCCGTATAACCCGAATACGATTCGCAACCCGAACACGACATGTGCAACGGGGAAATATAAAAAAAGTGAAACCAAGCTGAACCCAGCGGGCCCGCCGCGTCCCGCAATAGTTGAATACAAACCGCAGCGAAAATTTATAAAACATGACCACCGCGCGCTCCTAAAACCGGGAAAAGAAAAAAATTTATAGATAACAAAACCACCACAACCGTAACAGAATGCGAAGCAATCCGCTGGGCCCAGCGGGCCCGCCGCGCCCCGTAATAGTTCATTATGGAATACAGCGAAAATAAGCATAAACAAACATTGGAAATAAATTAGCAGATAGAGTAGCATCGGAATTAGAAGAGTTTGTCTATTTCACCAAACTTTAAACGACGGCATGTACATGTACATGATTTCTGATATATCATTAGGTACCTAAGTATTCTGTATGTTTTGTTAATTTTGAATTCATGAATTTCCTATTTATGTTTCGTTTCATAAAATTTGTTTTTATAAAATATGGTATGGCGTAATTAGTCTTTTTTTTTTTGTTAGATTACCACACTTTATTTGTTATATGCGCCGGTAGCTCATTTATGGCTAGGTGGTGGGTAAAGTAAAAGCGTTAATTCACATCAAATAGGGAATAAACATATTATGTAATCTTAGGGTAATTTCTAGGGGGGCCAATCACTTTTAAATAAGTAAACAAATATTGATGAATGTGATGAATGTGATAAATATCAATATCAAAAATACAGATGTTTTTTTTTTATCTATTTAAAGTGTAGTTACAGACATCACGAAAGAAAACTAGAAAACATAAAATTTAAAAAACAGTTTTATTAGAAACTATTAAAACTGAAGAATGGCTACACTGATACTAGATGTGATGAAGTAAAGTAATTGGTATGAAATACACCTTCTAAATTAATCGATAAAAATGCATTAAAGTTAATACTACATTTAATAAGTATACCTAAGGTACTTGAAGGTAATATGGCCAGGGTTAGTAATATGGCCAACGAGCCACGTGTCTTAATATAATGAAATTAAATTGAAGTTATCTGTAAGTGCATTCGCATAAAGTCATCTAAAATCCAGGGATAACAAATCTGAACGCTAGGTGTCGCGCCTACTGAAGTACGAACATTAATGGTCGACCTACAAGTGTTTGCCGCTCGAGTTATAAGATTTCGCAGTGCATTTTTGTGAATTATTTCTGTGTTCAAGGTAGGTACTACTGCATTTGTGTTCAGATTGTTTTCATGCGGTATGTTACCAACATTATTGGTAACATATTTGGTTTAAATCAGTATTGCCATTACATACTCAATGCATAAATGTTGTAGGTCATATTTATCTGCACTTGGCCATATTTGTCTTCACTTACCAAGATAAACGAATTAAGTATATACCAACTTATTTTATATATTTAATCTTGTTTCTTTTTAGAGGCAAAATAAAAGATGCGACCACCAAATAACCGAATCAGAAGCCAGTGGACACAAGAAAATATGACCAAGGCTATAAACTCTGTCCGTAATGGTATGGCAGTTAACAGACCCAGCCAAACATATAATGTTCCCCGACGAACTTTAAGGCGTTATCTGGATGCCAATAAAGAAAAAAAATCTCTTCTTGGACGTAAGCCTATTCTCACTGTGGATCAGGAATCCGCACTCGCTCAACGAATCATACGGCTCTCTCAAGTCGGTTACCCTCTTACTCCTGGAGTTCTGCGTTCATGTGTGTATAAGTTTGCCAAAACTAATAATATCAAGAATCCGTTTAGAACTGAGAAGGAAATGGCTGGACGATTTTGGCTGAAGGGGTTTTTATCCAGAAATCCAGAAATTCGCCCTCGAAAAGCTCAAAATTTGAACCCCGCCCGGGCACAAAAATTAAATCCATTTACAGTTAAGGATCATTTTGTTAAATTGGAGGGTATTTTAAAATAGATGGACATCATAGATAAACCAGAGCGTATCTACAACATTGACGAAAAAGGGTGCAGGTTGTGCGTTAACCACCAGCAAAAAGTTTTGGCTCAAAAAAGTTCAAGAAGGATTCATTTCATAGGAAATGAGCATGGTGAAAATGTGACCATCGTGTCGTGTGGTAACGCTTTGGGCGTGACCATTCCTCCAGTTATTTTATTTATAGGGAAACGCATGAAACGAGAATGGAAAGACGCTTTACCACCAGGATCCGATGCATTTATGACTACAAAAGGATCTATGACAGTATCAACTTTTTGTAGTTGGCTAGAACATTTTGCCAAATATAAAGTTGCGGGTCCCTGCCTTCTTATTTTTGACGGAGCGAAATGTCATCTTGAATACAGCATCGTTGAGAAAGCAGCCGAGTTCGATATAACGTTGTATTGTCTACCCAGTAATACTACCCATGAATTACAGCCCATGGATAAGGCGGTGTTCAGGCCATTTGAGTATTATTGGGACGAAGAGGTCTTAAAATACTTATCTGTTCACAGAGGTCAGTTTATTACAAAACAAAGATTTGGAATGATTTTTTCGAAAGTTTGGGATAAAGCATTAACCCCAGCAAATATTAAATCAGGTCTTGCTGCAACAGGGATCTACCCTTTCAACAAGGATGTAATTCCTGAAACTGCCTATGCTCCGAGCACAGTTCGATGCAGCCATCCCAGATCAACCCTCAAGTCCCAGACCTTCTACATCCGGTCTCCAAAACAAAACTGCGAAAAAACAATCCTCAAATCCCAGATCTTCCACATCCGGCCTTCAAAACAAAACCGCGAACAAACGCCGAGACTCATCCGATGATAGCAGTGATACGAAATCATCCGATATAACCCTACACGACGATGATTTAAGTGACGAGAGTATTTCCGACTTTAACGAGAGGCAACGTAGAACTCTACTAAAACAGACGTATCGTTCCAGGAATTGCTCTATACGCCTGACGAAACAACAACCAAACGCAAAAGTCCACGTAAGCCGGCCCTGAATTGCCGAGCTCAAGTGTTCAAAAAATACTTGTTTCAAAAGGAGGCCATATCCAAAAAGAGTTCTTCTTTACGAAAGAAAAAAGACAATAATAATCCTACGGCATCATGGTTTTGTAATAATTTGTACGTGCACGAAGAATGCGTCGGATTGACATCAAAAGATAAATTAACCGTTTCCTTATGCCCGGATTGCGAGGATGATTAAATTTTGGTTTTACTTGTTTCATTAGTTAAGAAATGCGTATTGTTTTCCTTTTGTGTAAATAAAAATAGAATCATACAAATGCTTTTCTAATGTTTAGTTTTCCTAAATTTCTAGTCAAAAACAAACTTAAAAATCGTCGAAATACAAGAAATTAAACCAATCACTATGTGGCCATATTACCGACACTGTGTTGGTAATATGGCCAATAGCAAATTTAAAAAAAAATGCGCGTAAACTGTTTAAAAAATGTCTGGACATTTTTAGAAATTGTGAGAGTTTAAAAAGTGTTTAGATTACATAAATTATTATCTATTGTCAAAAAAAAGACCCTACCAGTCTCACAGTAAAAACTTGATCCTTAAGGTGGCCATATTACCTTCAAGTATCTTATGTAAATTCCGGGCATTGGACACGCGAACAGGCTACATAAAGTTGACCATGAGAGAAGCATGGCTTTTCTAAATGCACTCCCGCTAGCTATAATGTCAGCCCTTGTGTTTTGTTTATAGTAACAGCAAAGCAAAGCTTGACGGGAAACTGAACCCTTTTGTATTGGAATGGAAGGTCAGTGGGAATAATTGGAATCCCAGGTATTATAACACTATTTCCCTTACCGACACCTGTTAAAATAGTAACACCAAGTATATTCTGCCCCAATTTTGTTATCCGAAGCTTTGTTCCATTGCATAGCCGAGGAGCATCTAGATTTCGCATAAGCATTACTGGTACATTTAGTTTCAATTGAAGTTTATGTGACGGTACACCCGACAGTTCAAGTGAATTTAAAAACTCCACAGGATATGAAGTACTTAGTTCCGTATCCATAATTGTATCCATTAACAAATATTTCTTCATTTCTCCTTGCACCTCTTTTAAAATGTCGGTGTTGATCCTATTAACTACTTCATTTGTTGGTGGTAATATTGCTCTTGCGCACAACCACTGATCACTAATCAAATTTTGTTGCAATTCCGGAAAAACATGAGGAATGAGATCCAGATCATTTTCTACTAAATTACAAAATTCTCTTGATAGTGATATATAACCTTCAGCGTCACCAATTTTCAACAACATTTCTGGGTAAAGTCTCGAATCCACATCATTATGAAGATGCACTCTCATATTCGTTTTCAGGCTGAGTTTTTCAACTCTCGACCATAAGCTTGATGATTTAATGCATGCTTGAATTTCATCTGCTGGTATCCCCCTCTGAATGACTGGGAGGGTTTGTCGGAAATCACCAGCCAATAAGACTACCATTTCCCCCATTATATCTGTACTATCTCAAAAGTCCTGAAGAGTCCGGTTTAAAGCTTCTATAGCCTTCTTGTGAGACATTGTACTTTCATCCCACACTAAAAGCTTACAGTCTCGCAACATCCTACCTCGTGAACTATTTTTACTGAAATTTCAGATGGGCGAATCTTCCTGTGCCAGATTCAATGGTAATTTTAAAACGGAATGTGCCGTACGGCCGCCGTTTTTGCTATTTCTTGGTCTTTTCTGGGGGACATTAATAATAAGTTAAGCAAAAACGTTTTTCCGGTTCCTCCTGGTGAGTCGAAGAGTCCATCATTGCCGGAGTCTATTTTACGTAAAACTTGATGGAAAACATGATTTTGCTCTGGAAGTAATTGAGGGACTAATTCTGTCACTTGATGTTGCAGTGCTATGAAATCATAATCTAGCTCTCGAGCAATTTCATTATTAAAATTATCCCTATTGTCTCGTCGAGGGCTTTGCATTCCAAAATTATTTAATTTTTTTCCAACCATTGTAAAAACCTTGTTTTCGATTATAATTAACGTTTTGTTGTAGATATGTTCATTGAAAGTCATATCTGTATGTACTTGCTGCAGTTGATGTAAAATATCTTCAGCCATGTATTCTTTGTACGTATCCCAAAGAGTTTGAGGGTTAGAAAGACCGCAAGAAGATAAAAGCGTAGCATAAAGTTCCCTGATTTTATCTGGGGATCGACATTGTACGGCTTCCTCCATAGTTTCATTCGAATGATTATCATTTTCTAACAGTCGCTGAGCTTCACATGCTTCTCTGTATGTTTGACATTCCTGACCATTGACAATTTTAAGTTCTGTAAAGCTAGTATCTCTATAAAAAATATCGTTGGTTTTGGTGCTTTTTCTAGGGCAGTAAAGGAGTTCTTAATTAAACAGGGTGTTCATTCTATTGATGAATATTTAAACTGTGATTGTTGTTGTTTTGTTTGTTTTTTCTATTTATCTGTGTAAATTTTATATGTTCTTTTTGACGTGTCCTATATCATTTTATATGATCTTTTGGATTAATAAATGCTTACTTACTTGCTAGGATAAAAAAAAGTTACACTCTTTTTTTGTTTGATTTCGGTTCTAGTCTGCCGTAGTTATGAATTTTAAAAATTTTTATATTTGTACAATTTTCCGTTTTTAAACCTGTGATGTTTTTAATTATTTGTAATAACGACCTATGTCCGCAGTAGGTGTACCTATCATGTTGGCTAACTTCAATATAATTCTCGCATATTTTTTCCTGATGAAGAAACAAAATACAGTTTCGAAAGCTTGAAAATTTAAAAGAGTAACTTTTTTTATCCTTGGCTGCATCCCCGTTTTTGTTTTCTTTATGTTGCGATATCTGTTATTTACAGATACAAGGAAATTTTATATGTATTTACAGTTTCATCTTTTACCGACGAGTATCCAAAATATGCATATATGAGAATATTGCACCTGTAAAGTATGCAACACGTAATATATGGTCATTATATTTAAAATTTAAATACTATGAATTGTGTTTTACAATATAAATAAATTATACTATTTTTTTAATCTTATATTATATACTCTTTGCGAAAAAATATAAAAATACATAGTTGCATGATAAAAATTTGAAATCTTTTATAATTCCATTTTGTTAGCAACTAATTTGTTTTCTTGTTTGGTTTACTGGGGGCATTGAGGTAATACATTTTTTTTGTGGATATTCAAAATTTTANTGGATATTCAAAATTTTAGTTTTTTAATAGTAATATATTATATTACTAGTTATTTACTAGCACATTTATTGAAAATGAGTGATGAAATGACGGAGCAAATAGATATTGAAGAATTACATGTAACTTTCTATATTTCTTGTTTCTTAATTTATTTCTACCATGAATGTGTATTTGAGGAGTCGCAGAAATCCGCGGCTTCTATACTTCGTCATCTTCAAGGAATTAACGATGTGTCGAATGACTCAATAAATAATATTAGCGATGAAAATATTAGTGATCCTGAAAACGGTATTCCTCGTCTAGAAAACGAAACTGACCGTCTTGAAAATGAAACTCCTTGTTCTGAGAGTCCTGCGGTATTTGTTCACAAACCGGAAAAAGAACATGTAAGTTTATTTGTATTAGTAAAATGCACTATTTATACACTATCAAGTTTTTATTTATGATTATAAATTCATTTATGTATATATTATAAGGTAAATACATGTAATCGAATCCAAGATAGTAATGGTTACGAAGTTGTTGTTTTACATAATTTTCCTGCCACTATGGACGAAGCAATTCATTCCACCCATATAGAGAGAGAGGCTGGACCTTCATCAGTTCAAAAAGATAAAGAATCGGTGCTTTTGTCTGACTGCGAAGTGGTTGACGATGAACATGTAAGTATATATATAGTAATTTTGTCACAGAACTTGAAAGTATTTATTTATTTATTTAAGTTACACCACCTGACAGTTAAAACCAAGTAAGTAAGTATCTGTATCAATCAAGGGAATGGGAACAGGGAAGACTCACAGACTCACCAATATTAGTTGGCTTCTTAAACAGAGAATGGCTGTAGTTCTCGAGGTCCTTTCCAAAAGTGTTCTGGCTAGTGCTGAAGACTTGAGAGTCAATAGTCTGGAAGGGTTCTTCAGACTGGTCAATTTCTTACTACCAAATATGATTTCTTCTGGACTACGCACTATCCTACTGACTGCGCCAGTTAAAGTTGCAATTCGTGACGTGGAAGACTTTAACACATTTATTTGTTCAAACGCTTTTATTGATTACTGGATAGTTAGTACAAGCTATGACTACTGTTACTATTACACTGATGATGAGAGATCTCGCATGAATTTATATAGGGATCTCTTATCATTTACATTGACGTCAATAGATAGGCAAAGTACACATAACAATGTATTATGCATGAAGGACGAGATATAAAAATAAAAGAAGATCCGGGTTCTGTACAGGGTGTGTAACTAGCATGAAAAATCAATTTCGAAAAATGATTTTAAACAATCCGGAGATATATTGATAATTTCTGTTTAATCAAGTATATTTTTCTTTTCAGGACACAAAACGATGTCGGACGATGTCCCGGGAGGTGAGCTGGATTCTTTATTATTGGAGTTCACTCCAATGTTGCCATCGCCTAGGGCAGAAATAGGGGATGATGTTCGATCAATACATGACGGTGTTTTATCAATACAGGACGTCGTGGCATTACTGTCGTCATTTCCTGTAATAAATCATATTTATAATTATTTACGTGTATTAAACCTAATTGAATGCGCTTTTTTATAGACTAACATTTGAGGCCCTTCGATGATTGGGCCCCTTTCCATTTGGGGCCCTCTGAAGACTGGGCCCAACAAAAAATGGGCATATCCCTTGTGTTTGGAGGAGGAGTAAGCGATGACCAAATAGGATTGGGGCCCGTCGGGCCCCTTTCCATTTGGGGCCCTTTGAAGACTGGGCCCCTTTCCATTTTGCTGCCTTTGCAATATCTTCTTCGTTTAAAGGAAAGTTGCGGTCAACTTAAATAAATAAATAAATACTTTCAAGTTCTGTGACAAAATTACTATTTACTCCCTGCAAATTGACTGTTTATCAATTTCCGGTTATGTTAAGGATCTAGAGGTTAACTGTATATTAATTTCTAGTTAATTAAGAATTTTTAAGAATTAAAAAGAATTTAATTTAGAATCAAAATGGCAAATCCCAATTACCAATTATTAAAAATGTATATCGATACCATACCGACTTTCGATGGTAATCCAACACTTTTAAACGATTTCTGTGAAGCATGCGACGGTTTAATTGTAAATTTTTCAAATGAGAATAATGAAGCGCAGAATAAATTTTTAGTAAGAACAATACGAAATAAACTAATAGGTCAAGCCCAAATAAATATTTCAACCAGACTAGAAGTAGAATCCTGGGTTGAAATTAAACAAATATTGACCCGAACTTTTGGAGATCCTCGCGATATCGACACTTTAAAACAAGATTTAATTCATCTTACTTATGATTCTCGTCAAGAATCATTAATTAATTTTAGTAATAAGATATTACAAATGCAATCGTTATTAATGGCGAAATTAAAACAATCACACGAAACGAGAGAAGTAAAAAGAACATTGAGCACAGTGTTTCAAAAATTAAGCTTAGACACATTCGTTAGAAATTTACCTTTCTATTACCAACAAATGGTCAGAACCAAAGAAATAGATGACCTAGAAGAAGCAATCACATTTATAAATAAGGAAGAACAATTTAATAAATACAAAAATCAGTAGAGCACACTAAAGTCAAAAATCAACCTAAACCATTCCCGCCACCAAGAAATCCACATTTCCAAAATCATTTCCTATCGCCAAGAAATCAATTTCAAAACCACTACCCTAGAAACAACTTCGCTAATCATAATAGGCACTCTAACCAGAATAATTTCCCTAATAGACATCCTAATCAGAATAACTATTTCAATCATAGATACCAGAACAATAACCCTATTCCTAATAGACAAAATTTTACACAACAACATTGGCCCAATCAATGTCCAACCTCGACCAATGAAACAAAACTTCCCGACAAATAAACAAGTATTTGGCCCAAATCAACCTAAATCAAAGAATTTTGGTCCTACCCCGATGTCCGGTATTTCTACCATAAACTCCGATCATTTTAAATCCCGACCCGAGTTTAATAAAACCGAGGCAGACATAACCCCACCTGGATGATCATATAACAACATAGAAGATCAATTATCCGTTTTTACCCATCAAGGACATTTGACCCCTGAACAAATAATTACATTACAAATTCCTGATGAGCAGCCAGACGAGTTCCCATACGATGAACAATACGACGACGAAGACTGGGACGCAGAACTAACTGAAAATTTTCAAGACGTTTCATTAAACACCAGCCCCACATAGAAAATCCAAAACCAATTCCTCATGTTGAATTAAATACAAACCTAATTCATAGTTGTCTT